GCTAAGCAAGGATTCTAAATTTTCCTTGCCACAATATTCGAATTCATGAAAGTTCGACATGTAAGTAGAAAATCTATGTAGGCCAAGAATGCATGCGCAAACAAGAAAAACTTCCAACTTGCACTTCCACAGAGAAAACTGAGCATAGATGACAACTGAGACAGACTACATACATACAACATCATCAAAATAAAAGAGGGGGGAAAATTGATTTGCTGAAACTCGAACATGTTAGTGTGTCAAAAAATTGTGGATGGACAAGTAAAATTACATCCTATACATGACTAAGCTTCAGTAAGGTAGATAAAACTTCCTTCATGACTGACCGCTCCTCTGCATTGAATCGGGTACATGATAAGGCTAACTCTAGGACTTTAACAACCTTACCTCCCTGTGTTGCAGTCGGAATGTCCATTGCATCGTCCACAATGCTAAGCACAACATCTACTCCACCTTGAAAGGATTTCTCCACAAACTCTTGCAATGAGATATGCTCTCCATCATGTTCAATAGTCCCAGTTAGCCTTATTCTGGTGAAAAGCTCCATCATAACTATACCGAAGCTGAAGACGTCAACCTTTATGGTTACATTCCTCATGTATGCAAATTCTTTAACATAGAAAACACATCGATCAGTGACTGTTAAATATCCCTTTTAACTATACTCTGTTCGTGAAAGTGCTAGAGTGGACTCGGTATATGCATCAATCGCTATGAGTATCATTGCTTACAAGGTCATTGGATCCTTTTCAATAGAGTCGTTAGTGTTAATGGCGAAGAAAATACATCTTATGTACCAATCTATCAATCCTTAAGCTATACTTAACATCTTCATGAAATAATATCTTTGTTAACAAGTTTAGATGACATTCTCCAATAAAAGTTGTTCCCCTTGCAGCCGTTGTTGTTGTGGTTATCCTTAACCTTGGATATGAGCTAATTTACTTCCACCTATTGAACTTTGTTGCATATAATTTATTCTTTTATTATCTAGTTATTTATTTTAATTCCAAATCGGCTTAGCTTTGTTGCATATAATTTATTCTTTTATTATCTAGTTATTTATTTTAATTCCAAATCGGCTTAGCTGTTTATGTATTATGTGAGCTATGTTTCACAGAACAATAGGAATAGCTAATTTTCTCCTAAAAGTGTGATAATTAGTTAATATGCATAATTAAATAATATCAAACCTCAGGCCCTCGCTTTTCGAGCGTTTTCCTCAAGCTCTGCGATGGCGATCTACGGCGGGGGAGCGGCGGTGATCTACGGTGACGAGGACGGGTGGAGGAGGGGAGGCGGCGACGAACTCGAGGAGGGGAGGGGAGCCTTGGGGGCCTGAGCGGAGGCGGCAACGACGAGGAGGGCGAGGGCCAGGGTGACGAGCTTGAGAAAGCTCTTAGTTTTAGAGAGAGGAGAGAGGAGAGAGAGAGAGATGAGAGAGAGAGAGAGAGAGGATATGAGTTATGGGTCTGAGGGATTGGGGAGAGAGGATAAGGATAATTTGGGGATTTTAGCTTAGCTGACATATAATAATTGATAAAAAAGGCTGCAGTACAAAGTATCACACATCAAGGGGCTGATTCACATAGGAAAAAATATGAGTGGCCTTGTCACATGAAGTTTCTGCTTTTGGGGCCCAGACATATTTTTCCCAAAAACAAAACAAAACAGATCATCTCCCATATTCATCCTGATGCTCCAATTTCTTTAGTTTCTAGTTTTTTGTTTTCTGGTCAAGCATTGAGGCCACAATTAAGATCAGTCCCGAACATGCTTCATATGGAGTTGCGGTTGGTGTTATTCATGATTTTAGATGCAAAATCAAAAGCTCCAAATAACAAGCGAGCAAGAAATTGGAGAACAACAACTAAACATTTTAACTTATCAATGCATTCATCTATTATTGAATTATACCTAATGATATTCTCCGTGATATTCTAAAAGCCTTAAAGTGGGGAAAAATTAGAATAATATACATTGAACATTTTAGGTATTTAAATAATTCAATTAGAAAAAGGAACAATTTAGAATAATATACATTGAATTATACCTAATGATATTCTCCGTGATATTCTAATGCATTATACCTAATGCATTCATCTATTATTGATTTTCTTTTTAACTATTATTAATAATTATAATTATGTGTAATACTTTATTAAATGATTAACTTTTAATATTTTATATAATTAATAATTCTTTATAATAAATTATCATATATTCATGAATTTTGTTATCATTATAAATTATTAATATATTCTAGCGAATGACCAAATAATTTGAGAAAATGAAAATGTGCATAGTTAATGAGAGGTTATGGATCATTAGTTTTATAATTAATGATATAATTTTGAGTTATAAAAAATTGAGGGGATAAAAAAGGAAATCAAAAGTTTTGACATGGATATTCCCTTTTATGGGTAGTATAGATTTAATAAAAAGGCTAAAATAGGCTTTTGTCATTTATGATATCCCTCTCCAACCTTTCATTGAATTTCATCTCCAGAAATCCGAGCATCCATCATCTCAACGCGGTTTCATAAATTCTCAACTTGTATATTCTTAAGTACAAAAATAAAATAAAAAAAAACAAAACAAAATAGATCATCTCCCATATTCATCCTGATGCTCAAATTTATTTTGCTTCTAGTTTTATGTTTTCTGGTCAAGCCTTGAGGCAACAATTGAGATCAGTCCCGAACATGCTTATGGAGTTGCAGTTGGTGTTATTCCTGATTTTAGATGCAAAATCAAAAGCTCTAAATAACAAGCGAGCAAGAAATTGGAGAACAAGAACTAAACATTTTAACTTATCAATGCATTCATCTATTATTGAATTATACCTAATGATATTCTCCGTGATATTCTAAAAGCCTTAAAGTGGGGAAAAAAATTTAGAATAATATACATTGAACATTTTAGGTATTTAAATAATTCAATTAGAAAAAGGAACAATTTAGAATAATATACATTGAATTATACCTAATGATATTCTCCGTGATATTCTAATGCATTATACCTAATGCATTCATCTATTATTGATTTTCTTTTTAACTATTATTAATAATTATAATTATGTGTAATACTTTATTAAATGATTAACTTTTAATATTTTATATAATTAATAATTCTTTATAATAAATTATCATATATTCATGAATTTTGTTATCATTATAAATTATTAATATATTCTAGCGAATGACCAAATAATTTGAGAAAATGAAAATGTGCATAGTTAATGAGAGGTTATGGATCATTAGTTTTATAATTAATGATATAATTTTGAGTTATAAAAAATTGAGGGGATAAAAAAGGAAATCAAAAGTTTTGACATGGATATTCCCTTTTATGGGTAGTATAGATTTAATAAAAAGGCTAAAATAGGCTTTTGTCATTTATGATATCCCTCTCCAACCTTTCATTGAATTTCATCTCCAGAAATCCGAGCATCCATCATCTCAACGCGGTTTCATAAATTCTCAACTTGTATATTCTTAAGTACAAAAATAAAATAAAAAAAAACAAAACAAAATAGATCATCTCCCATATTCATCCTGATGCTCAAATTTATTTTGCTTCTAGTTTTATGTTTTCTGGTCAAGCCTTGAGGCAACAATTGAGATCAGTCCCGAACATGCTTATGGAGTTGCAGTTGGTGTTATTCCTGATTTTAGATGCAAAATCAAAAGCTCTAAATAACAAGCGAGCAAGAAATTGGAGAACAAGAACTAAACATTTTAACTTATCAATGCATTCATCTATTATTGAATTATACCTAATGATATTCTCCGTGATATTCTAAAAGCCTTAAAGTGGGGAAAAAAATTTAGAATAATATACATTGAACATTTTAGGTATTTAAATAATTCAATTAGAAAAAGGAACAATTTAGAATAATATACATTGAATTATACCTAATGATATTCTCCGTGATATTCTAATGCATTATACCTAATGCATTCATCTATTATTGATTTTCTTTTTAACTATTATTAATAATTATAATTATGTGTAATACTTTATTAAATGATTAACTTTTAATATTTTATATAATTAATAATTCTTTATAATAAATTATCATATATTCATGAATTTTGTTATCATTATAAATTATTAATATATTCTAGCGAATGACCAAATAATTTGAGAAAATGAAAATGTGCATAGTTAATGAGAGGTTATGGATCATTAGTTTTATAATTAATGATATAATTTTGAGTTATAAAAAATTGAGGGGATAAAAAAGGAAATCAAAAGTTTTGACATGGATATTCCCTTTTATGGGTAGTATAGATTTAATAAAAAGGCTAAAATAGGCTTTTGTCATTTATGATATCCCTCTCCAACCTTTCATTGAATTTCATCTCCAGAAATCCGAGCATCCATCATCTCAACGCGGTTTCATAAATTCTCAACTTGTATATTCTTAAGTACAAAAATAAAATAAAAAAAAACAAAACAAAATAGATCATCTCCCATATTCATCCTGATGCTCAAATTTATTTTGCTTCTAGTTTTATGTTTTCTGGTCAAGCCTTGAGGCAACAATTGAGATCAGTCCCGAACATGCTTATGGAGTTGCAGTTGGTGTTATTCCTGATTTTAGATGCAAAATCAAAAGCTCTAAATAACAAGCGAGCAAGAAATTGGAGAACAAGAACTAAACATTTTAACTTATCAATGCATTCATCTATTATTGAATTATACCTAATGATATTCTCCGTGATATTCTAAAAGCCTTAAAGTGGGGAAAAAAATTTAGAATAATATACATTGAACATTTTAGGTATTTAAATAATTAAATTAGAAAAAGGAACAAGTTCCTTTTACGAATCCTAAAAATAAATAAATAACAAATAAGCAGAGAATCACATCCGTTTGTTTGGCGAGCCAAT